ACCTCAATGCTTACAAACCGAAAAAAAAGAATGTTTAAATTTACATGTTCTCCCCTTCCACCCGGGGCAAAAAATAAAAAAACGGTAAAAAGGAATGGGGAAAAATTTTTTTATTACTTTTGAAAAAACATAAATTTTAAAACAAAAGAAAAAACATTTCAAAAAAAGATTAAAAGATTAGAAGAGTTTTTAATCCTAAAAATGTTATTTTCCCGAATTTTCAATCAAAAAGCGTCCCCGGGCAATATTTAAAAAAGGTTTTTACAAAAATGAAAATTTAAAAAAACTTTGGATATTTTTTTAAACGTAAAAATTTAAAAACTTTTTGGGTCTGTTCCCCAAAAGCCCCCAAAGGGGCATTGGGGGGAAACCCCCTTTTGCCGGGGGGTTTCAAAGTTTTCCAATTTCAGGGCAACATTTATTAAAAAATTTGTTTCAAGGGGGAACAAAAACAAAAAAATAAAAATACACAAAAACCACGTGACACCTGGACATCCCCCCTTTTTAAGACATTACAGGAAAAATTTTTAGATATTGATGTTACTTTGGTCACAAGGGTCTTAATTTTATTCCAGAAAAATGAACTTCGGACAGCTTTAATTCCCGGGGGCATTACCTGGCTTTTTGGGGAAAACAAAAAATCGGAAAAAATTTCGAAAAATTTTCTGGAAAGGGGAATTTGGGACAAAACCTTTTAACCTTAACAAATGTGGAACGGGGGTTTTCGCCCCCCATTTGCATTTTAATTTGGGGATTTTTAAAACCCAAAAACCCTTTTGTTTGAAATCCCTAAGTAAAAAATAGACAATTATTCGATGGGGCCGTTGGCCCTGCAATCAAAGGGGGTGAATCTGGAATTTTTGTTTAAAAGAATTTGGGTTGTTAAAAAATGGGGGCCCAAAATTTTTCCCGTTTGTTTGGGTTAAAACCCAAGGGTTTATCGTTTGGGGGTGTATTGAATTTTTTTGGGGAATTTCCCCCCGGATTTGGGTGCCGAAACCCAAAAACCCCAACAAAAAAAAAAAAAGTAATTAACCTCTTTTTCTTTTCGGGGGGGGGAAAAACCCCCAAATAAATGAACCCAATGGACCCCCAAAATTTTGCCCAACTGGGGTTCACTTTAATTCAAAATAGGTTCCCGGGAAGCGTAAATTTAAAAAAAAGCGAAAAAATGGGAAAAGGTGCAATTGAAAAAAAATATAATGGAAAATTTTAAAACGTTCAAAATTTTAAAAATCACTATTGGGGGAAAAAAAAATGGCTCTTTGTTAAAAAAAATTTTAAAGGGCAAAAAGGCCCCAAAAAAGAAAAAAAAATTTTCAATTCCCAAAATTAGGCAACTCCCCAAATGGGAAATTTTTAATTGGACCCGGTTATCTCCTTTGAAATTTTTAAAAAAATTTTGGCCCACCGGGAAGGGAAATTGGGAAAAACCGACATCCGGGGGAACAGAATTGTTCAAAATTTACCCCTTTTTTATAAAAAAAACCTCCGGGCTTTAAACCAAAAGTGGAAAAAAAGTTTTCCCCTCCGGAAAAAACGTTTTCCGAAAAGGCGTTTTGGAATAATTTGGTTGCTTTTAATAAACCGGGTCCCTTATATTTTGTTAAAAGTAGAAGGGGAAATTTTACCAATAAAATTTTCCCGGGGAAGGGGAAAAAAGGAAAAAAGAAAGATAGTTAGGGAAAAGGAGGAAAAAATTCCCGAATTTTTACACAAAATTTAAAAACTTTTTTTTATCATGTTGTTTTTGTTGTTGTGGATTTTTTTTCTTTTTCCCCAAAACCAAAAAATTTTAATTATTAAAAATTGGAAAACAAGAAAAAAAAAAATTCCCAAAAAAATAACAAAGTTTTGGGATAGTTAAATTTTAGTTTGGGTTTCTTAAAAACCCCCCCGGAGAAAAAGGGGGGGGAGTTTCCCCGGGGAAAGGTAATTTTAAAATACCTTGGGTTTGTAACCTTTTTCAGGACCGATTTTTAAAAAAAAAACTACCCGCCCAAGATTTTAAAAAAAATTTTTAAAAACGGTTTTAAAAAAAAAATTTGGGGAAAAAAAAAACAAACAAACCAAAAACAAAAACCCAAGTTAAAAATTTTTTAAAACAAATCCCAAGGAAATGGGAAGTTTTTTTTTTTTTTGCCATTTTAACAAATAACCCTTAATTAAAATTTCATCTTTGAACCTGAAAAAAAATTTTTTCCTAAGGAAACATTTTACAATTTAGTGGGAAAAAAAAAAAAAGGTTTTTAATTAAAAAAAAACTTTAATTTGGGGTTCCATAAGTTTTTTAAAAAATTTTTAAAAGGAAGGTAAAATTTCTGAAAAATTTTTTAAATGTTCTTTGGCCCTGTAAACCCAAAAATTCTTTTTAAAAATTAACAATAAAATCTAGTTTTTTTAACCGGGTTCCTTTTTTAAAATTAAAAATTTTTCCCCTTTAAAATTTTTAAACAGCCCCGGGGCTAAAAAAAGCTTTAAAACCCCAAATTTATAAAAAAAATGAAAGAAAACCCCGGAAAAATTTAAAAAAACCTAACTTTTGCCTTTGGGGGCTTCCATTCAAAAATTTCCCGGCTTTTGTCGCCTACCCTTTTATGTTTTCCCCGGCGGCCCCCTTTTGGGAATTACCCCTTTGTTTTCCGAATTAAGAATTGGGGAAATTGATTTATTAATAATTAGAAAATGGAAAAATATTTAATTCGGGAAATTTAGTTACCAAATTTTGGGCTTGAAAGGGCCTTTTTCCCCCAAATTTAAGCTTTTGAATACAAAAAAAAACTAAAAAATGCACAGGGGCTTCTTTAAAAATTTTCAGGGGAATTCTCTTTGGAATTAAATCAAAATTTACCTAAGGGTTCTTTAGCAAAAAATTAAACTTTTCCTTTAAATTAAAATTTGTTTGGGAAAGGGCTTACAAAAAAAAGGGTTTTTAAACCAAAACAATTTTTTAACAATTACCAATTGAAATTTTTTGGAAAAAAATTTAAAAAAAAAAAAAAATCAACGTCCCGAAAAAAAGGGGGGGAAAATTCCCCAAAGAAAAGGGCCCCCAAAAAGGCAGGTCCAAATTGGTTCCAAAAAAAATTTTTAAAAAAAAAATTTTAACCAAAGGGAAAAACTTTGCCCCCCCCTTGAAAAACCTGTCCGTTCAGAGGTTGTCCGGGCCCAGGAAGATTGGTCCCCCCAAAAAATTAAAAGTTTTGGGGAAAAAAACGACAAAAAAATGGAAAAAATAACTATCCCAAAATAGAAAAACCCCCTTTTGAAAAGGTAAAAATTTTTTTGGGTTTTCCATTTCAGTTTTTTCTCATAGTTATTAAGGCTTAACTTAAAAAATTCCCTTTTTTAAGGAAAGTAAAAAAAAATTTTTTTTTCCCCGGAAAAAAATTAAAAAAATCCGAAATTTTTTCCCATTTTAAATTTTCTTTAATTTGTAACAAAAAAAATTGGCCGAGGTTATTCAAAGGGAAGTTCCCCGGGGAAATTTGCAAAAAAAGAAATTTTTTTTCTTTTAAGGTATAAATTTTAATTTCCAAAAGGAAAAAGCCAAAAATTTAAATTGAACAAAACAAAGAACAATTCCCGTTTTAAAAGAGGGGAACAATTTTTAAAAATAGAAACAAAAAAACTAAATTATTCAAAAAAACCGTGTTTTTTTTTAAAGCCCAAATTTTGGAAATGGTCCCCAAAAAAACTAAAAACAAAAAAATTTCCAAAACCCATTTTATATGAATGGATGTCTTCAATAAAACCCAAATTCCAAAAAAAATTGGTATTTTCCTTAAAACAAAATTGTCCATTTTTCGAATTCCCTTTTTTTTTTGATTTTGGGGTTTTTTCCCACCAACAAAAATCCCTTGTTTTTGTATTTAAAGGTAAGAAAAACTTTTTTTTTTATAAAATTAATTCCAAAAATTCCTTAAAAAGGGGTAACAAAAACAAATTTTTTTAAAAACCCCTTACAAATGTTAAAAAAAAAATTAAAAATTCCCTTTTTCGGGAAATATTAAATGTATTTAAACAAATATGAAAATACAATGAATTACACTAAAAAAAGGGAATTTTAAAATTTGCTATTTGGAACTCACAGAAACATATCCATTCTCATGATTGAATATTCACGAAGATGCACTTGAAATAATGTAAATTTGTTCCAGTCGGACATTGTTTTTTTTTTTTTTTTTTTTTTATACATCATACTTAATAATGAATAACTAATGTATAAATTTTCAAACAGAATGTTTAAACATTTAAGATATTCATGGGGAAATTTATTCTCATTTTAACTTCACGTTATTCTTGCCCTGTTTTTTTACAGGGAAATGATTAAATAAATTGGTTTGCATTGTTGACTTCAATACCCCATATTATCCAAATTCTCAGTTTTTATTTTCTTTCTAGAATTAAAAAACACATCACTGTTTTTTAACAAAAATTTTTTTAATAAGCTGGCTTTTAGCCATTGACTTGGTGGGGAATATTTATTATGAAATCCCCAGTGAGTACGGGGAAATGGATGGATTTCGATTTTGAAAAAAATTATCAGTCTAAAAAAGACTTTATTATGGGGTTTATATATTATTGAGGGGAAAAATAAAAAAAAGTTCCCACAGACCCCTTAAAATTTAAATCTGAAGAAATGAGTGTTCCCTAAACCCATTGGGTTTAAAAACGCCAGAAAAGTAAAACTTACCAACCCGGGCTTAATGATTTTGAATGATTTATAATGACATTCCGTCCGTGATGTGCCGTGTACCCTGTATTGATAGGTGCCAGCTGGACTCCTTGTCGGTGAGGATGTGTTGCTGGATTGTGTTAGGGATGCGTTCATTGAATGCCAACCATCCTTGGTGGTCTTGCTTTTTCATATTTTAAAGAAAAACATGTAATCTATAATACCTTAGGAGGCATGCTTGAGATTTCATGCTGAACAAATACAGTTTTATTATTGGCACCTAAGACTAGAGTAACTGTCTAAGAATAAGCCTATATAAAACATGGACAAACTAGATTATAAGGTATCAAAGTATGCTATCGTTCTTCAAAAGATAAGATGAGAAAGTTTAGACTAAACACCACACTAATATCTGGTTTATATTACAAGAATATACTGTTTTTTTTCTAAATTAAATTCATTATTATTTTGTTTCACTGGTGGAATGGAAAACGAAACAGCTTTGTTTCAATGTGCCTCATTTCCCTTTCCCTTTTTTTTTCAAGGGGAAAATTTTTTGTTGTTTAAAAAATATAAAGACAATTTTTAAGGGCAAAAAAACCCTGGAAAACAAATTTTAATTTTCCCTTTTTAAAAATTTTTAAAATCAAAATTTCTCGAAAAACGGGAAATTTTTAAAAAAGTTTTTTCCTTTATTTTCAGTTAATTATTAAAAGATCAACCTTTTTTCCCGCCAATTGTTTTTCTTCAAACAGCAGGGTCAAAAATAGGTGTCAAAAAGAAAAACGCTTTAAAAACCGGTGTGAGGGACGTTGCTCCTTTTCATTGTACCTCATGTACAGACTCAATCTAGCCTGCAATTTACATGAAATTCTGTCGTGATTAATGCTTCCGAGGGATCACACTTATCCAGATGTTTTTTTATTATTCTCACATACATGGATTCTCCAGGCAAATTATCGAAAACAGCCAACAGGTACAATGAAGAAAAAAAGGGAATCATTAAAAAAGTTCAAAATGGAAAAAATGAAAATGTTGTATTCTCGGTTTATGGGCGGAATAAGTCCCACACCCGGGGCACTGGGGGTTAAAATTTTACCTTTTTTTATTTTAAAAAAAACTTATCTTAAAAGGGGAAAAAAACATAAATATCAACTTTTTAAAATTAAAAACTTTTTGAATTAAAATTTAACTTACCGGCTCTGGGGTAATCAAATTAAAGTTTTCAGAACGGGACAGTTTTTAAAATTTTAACCCAAAAAATTATTTTAGTACAAAAATATGACCAATAACTTTTCACCCTTTCAGGATTTTCAAAGCGACATTCAAATGCTTTCCAAAAGCTACCAAAAAACCATTTTCAAATGGGATGAGTTTTTTCATATAGTTTAAAAAACATTTATCTTTGTTTTGATTGTATAAAAAGGGTTTAATTTTTCTTAATGGAAAAAGAAGCCGACCCAAAACCCCCCAAACCACAAAAAATGTTGAGGGTCGGTTTGTTGAGCAGAAACAACCCCTTTTTAAAAAAGCTTCTCTTCATAAACAAAAAAAAACTAGTGTCTGGTCAAAGACTCCAGCAATTTAAAAAGGGAAAACAACTTAAAAAAATACCCCCCACTAGGGGGAACTTTTTTTCACTTGGGTTTTTTTTCAACTTTTGGGAATTTTTTTAAAAAAATTAAATTTTGACCAAAATTTACATGACCTCTATTTAACGCATATTGAAATCGTAATGCTAAGTGCTTTTCGTGTATAGTAATATTCAATACCTTAACAAGGACACGCAATGGTGCCACTGACTCTGTTACGTTCCGATTTGGATATAAGCTCCAAAAATGGTAGGATATCAGAAAATCAGTTTTGGTGTATTCCCAATTTATGACCTGAATTTATCCCCTTAATATATAATAACCACCACTCAAAGTAACAATTTTTGCCTGCTTTTTCGGCACTTTGATTTGTTAAAAAATCTTTACCAAGGTTTTACTGTAGAGATAATGTTGCAATATTTCAATATTTATGTAATAGAAAGAGCACCGAAACACGAGGCTATCTGATTTGTACGAGGGGGCGTAGCCCCCGAGTATAAATCAGATTGCCGAGTGTTTTGGTGTTCTTTCTCTTTTGTATCATAGTCAAACATAAAAGCACGTTCCCTGTATCACAATATGAAACCCCGGCAAAAATGAACCAATGAACGAACATCTGGATATGACATTTCTGTCGCTTTCCCTTTCTCTGCCGTCAACAATATGTAAACCCCAGCAAAAATGAGCCAATCAATGGGCATGCTCTGGAGTGCGGGTAACTAATACCGCACTCCAGTTAACGCACTGTGCATGTATATGTATACGATTTAACCCTGACACATTTTCTACAGAAAGGTCTCCAAACTATGATACAAATAATATTTATATATTGATACCTTATTGTTAAGCATATCTCTTCATAGGTGATTACAAACCATCATCAAGCAAATGTGAATGCGGGGGAATTTACTTGCACGGAAAACGGACTGTACAAATTTCAGGTTTACTCCCTCACAAAGAGCAATTCTAGCCTGTTCCTCGAGTTATATGTTAACAACAAACTCCTTGCATCACTTTGGGGACACACAACGGGAGATTACGCTTCCGCCGGAAATGCCGTCATAACTTCACTTGTTGAGGGGGACGTAGTCAGCGTAAAAACACGAAGCCAACGTGCCGTAAATATATTTGGTAAAGCTGGACAAATTTATACTACATTCACAGGCGTTCAACTAGGATCACTTGAAATAGGTATCATAAAGTTCAAATAAATCAACTAATAATATCAGTAAATTAAAAACCTGTTCAGATTCTTGTTTCAGTCAGGCTAGCTAGTTATCATATAACATTATTATACTGCTGGTCTTGTTTAAGTTTGCTTGCATTGAGTCAACGAATAATACTGTTAAATTAAGGTTGATAGAAAAGATCAGAGAAAACGGCAGATTTGAAAATGTTGCAAGTTCGTTTTGATTGATCCTGTGTATAGACGGTAGTGGTACTTGGAAGCTGCCATCCACACCTCGTAGCATGTTATAAGTAACTAAAATAATAAGTTAGTTATTTTAAATGTCAGAGCCAATGGCAAGTTCTTTTAAAATACCAGTGCTCTGTACATACAGTGTATAATAGACAACTTCAGTTTAATCGTTTCTATCTTTCTCAAATAACATGTATAATTAGTTATTTGGATATGTACGTCACAATGAAAATAATATACCGAGTCATACTGCAAAGAGGTGAATGTTAGCCTGAGGCAGCAACACGCTATATGCAGGATATATTTAAATGATTACCTTTTACCAGATTCATCACGTGATCTTATCGTTATGTTTATTAGATGCAGAGCGATACGGCCCTATGTCAGTATTCTCTGTTGGACTAACACAACACCAAGAAGTCCACACAGGCCAAAATGTCTTGTATAATAACATTTTAACCGACACCAACACAGCTTATAGCGCTTCAACCGGTGTTTACACAGTTCCATCTAGTGGACTCTATATATTTCACTTCTTTAGGTAAGATTGGCCTATGTTTTGTCACTTAGCTGGCTTTATGATCAACTTGCAATCTTGATAATATATATTTGGTGACTGAAACATTGTAACCTTACATCTAATAATATTAATTCATTAAAAATAGTGTATCTATATAACAGGGTTGGACATATTATTTTCATTATCATTCTTGATCAGTGCCCTTGTGGCTGAGGCGTTACTTTTAATGGTTTAATTAAAAAAAATGTGGAAACAAAGTGATCCCTCGGAAGCATTAATCACAACAAAGTGACATGAAAATTGCAGACTCGGTTTGATTGAGTCTGTACATGAGGGATAATTGTAGCCACCATTCATCCCTGTATGATTGTTATAGGCGACTAAATGCAAAAAATGTAAAGTCGAATTCCTGAAGTCTATGCATCTTTTAGCTCCAGCAGGTGAGGTGGTTTGACAACTGGTGTTGCTTTTAAGTTGGTAACACCCGAGGTAAGCCAAAGTCATCTCTCCTGTTCCGGCGCCATATGATCTAAATCGTGTTGACGCGCCTTAAAACCAAACAAAACTTAACAATCAAACTTTCTTGATCAAACTTAAAAAACTGAGTCACTATACTTTTTCATTGCTTGTTCACATACCATTACTAGGTTTACTGCTTCTATTGTAGTTTTTATCCAATTTTGAGAAATTAACCGTAACATACGACGAGTAACTATTATATCATAACCATCACAGCTAAATAGCGAATTAGGTTTTGCCTTTTTAGCTCACCCGAGGACAATGTCCTCAAGGTGAGCTTTTGTGATGGCCCATTGTCCGTCGTCCATCGTCTTTCTGTGCATCAACAATTTCTTTAAACAATTTTTCCTCTTAAACCACTTGGCCAAATCTTTTAAAATTTTGCAGGAATATTCCTTGCATGAAACTCTACCAAAACTGTTCAAACAATTGAATTCCATGAAGAACTCTGGTTGACATGGCAACCGAAAGAAACTTTTACAAAAAATCTTACAAATTTTCTTGTAAAAACCGAAGAAACTAGAGCTTAGATATTTGGCATAAAACATCTTCTAGTGGATGCCTTCTAAGTTTGTTCAAATAAATGCCCTAAAGTCAAAATAGGCCCCACCCCGTGGGTCATTCATTTTCCTTATTTGTATATATTGGAAACTAAAAAAAATCCTCTTGTTACAATCCAAAAGCGCTATAGATTAGATATTTGGCATGAAACATCTGCTAGTGGATGTCTACCAAGTTTGTTCAAATAAATGCCCTAGGTTCGCAATTGGCCCCGCTCCAGGGGTCATTCATTTTTCTTATAATAATGTATATAGTAAAAATCTCATTGTGACAATCCAAAAAAGCTAGAGCTTAGATATCTGGCATGAAACATCTTCTAGTATTTGTCTACCAAGCTTGTTCAAATAAAATCCCTAGGGTCAAAATTGGCCCCGCCCCTGGGGGTCATTGAGTTTCCTTATATAAACATGTATATAGTAAAAACTTAAAATATCTTCTTGTGAAAATCCAAATAAGTAAGAGCTTAGATATTTGGCATGAAATATGTTCTAGTTTTTGTCTACCATGTTTGTTGAAATAAAGCCCCTATGGTCAAAATTTGCCCTGCCCTGGAGTCATTGATGTTTCTTATATGTACGGTTGATCCGGTGTTTTTTGCGATGATTTAGTTTTTGCCATTTTTTTTTGGGGGGGGGGGGGGTGAAAAGGTGCTCAACTTTGACCGTTTGACATCAGGTCATAGGAAATCGAGAACGGAACCGCAGATTGCGGCGCATATTTTCGATCGTGTAACGGTTTTTAAAAACGTTTCTTCTACATCTAAATATCTTTTAGTATTATCCGAGTATATGGCCTAAAAAAATATTATCAATTGAACCCAATCTGTCTCTTTTGAAACTGGTCAAATTTTACGCTATTATAAAAAAGCCACATTCGCCGCAACGTTTCCGGCATGAGTTTTTCCCCTTTGGCTACAATTGATTACTATTTTTCAGAATTTTGTTCCCGTTATTTTTGTCAACTATGGGGTATCGTCCGGATATAACGTTCACGGTTTATTGTTTACACATGTTGACATGTATAGGCGGCATTATAACGGGCGTATTCGTGTTTTGATTTGTTAACATGGAGAAAACAGACACTCTAGTAATATGGTCCAACTGATTTTGCCTAAATGAAAAAAGGAATATTAAAACATGATCCATAGATAAATATTTTAGGCACTCATCTGGTATTCATAACTAGGAAATGTGAAAGTTTTCCATGTATTGAGTGACATAAAGAGAGTACTAGAAAAATTAAAATAAAAATCAAGCATATCAAGGGGGATAACTTACGCCGAACGTTACGGTAAATTAATGGCGGATGTAACGGATTTATAAATGCGCCGCAATATGCGGTCCTGTTCCAGAGTTCCTATGTCCTCAGGTGAGCGATCTAGGGCCCCTTTGCTATAGCAAAGGAGATCCATGGTTCCTTCGTTTATTGTTATTTGGACTCATTTGTCAATTTTTGGTGTTGCACTCATAGCCCTTAAGCTTTGTAGACACTTGTCCTTTCCATTCTAAAAGCCATCCGATCAGCTTGTAAGGTACTCTTTTAGGTGTGTTTCTGATTCTGGATATCAAACATTTTTGCTTGAGCATTTACAAAAAATCTCTGTGCATTTTGTCTTAAACCTTATGCCATCTGTTTCAAAATAAAATGTTGCAGCCTTAGCGGGTCTGGTGATATTTTCATGGCTCCACTCGCCGTGATCACATCATCTAAAAGCAAAAAACAAAGTTGCAAAAATGTTTAATAACTTAATCATTGTACTTCCCGTTACATTGACATAATTAAGCTTATGGAAGCCAGGCATTACATTGTTTAAATTGTTCTGCTTACAGTTTAACCCTTCAAAAAAAAAGGTTTTTGGCAAGAACTCTTTCACAACAACATATATGTGTGCTCTATATACGGCCTTGCCAACCAGGATTATGCAGACGCTGGTAATACCGTATTACTCCATCTGAAAGAGAATGATCAAATTAGTGTGCGTGCGCATAGGAACAGCAGCTTGTTTGGAACTTCCGATCAAATTTACTCGACATTTTCTGGAACACAATTAGTTAGAGAGGCTGATATGTCGTCAGGCCGTAAGTATTTTTAAAATATACTAGTATATATTATCCACCTGACCTATATTTTAAATATGTATCTGTTGTTTCAGAATTAAGACCCTTGATTGATTGATTGTGCGCATCATAATAATTGCTGACAATCAGGATATTGTAATATATACACGTGAACTCCTTTTTTATTCATATATTTCTATTAAAAATTATTTCTCTACAGAATTATAATAGTAAGTACATGAGAAGCATTGCTAAAATGGTAAAATATGTTGTTTTTTTATTTGATAAATGTGGTTAACGAATATCTTTTTACCCTGCTGATGTAAATTTATTTTTCTAGAAGAACCAATTGTAGCGTTTTCTGTTGGATTATCCCATCATGTAACAGTCACCAGTCATACTAAAGTCATATTTGACCGAGTATTTCTTGACCTTAACTCTGTGTATGATAAAAAGACTGGAGAATTCACTGCTCCAGTTGGAGGTCTCTACGAGTTCAACTTTCACGCCCTTGGGAAGCTAGATTCGAGAATTTGGCTTGAGCTTTTCCATAATTACAGGTTTGTGATTTTTTTTATTCAGTAAATATGGCTGAATATTATCATACAATTGAAACAACGCAACACAAGTGTTTAGATAAAACTTTTTAATACCCGGTATATGTTTTATACGGTATCCCGTACTTTCGACTTTTCATCATCGTATTTTTACCATCGTTGTTTCGTTATTTCGACTTTTCACCTTCGTTGTTCCGTGTTATGTTAGTCGCGATGGCTGTAACAGGACACCGTATCTTCAGGGTGAGATGAGCATTAACAATGTTGCATTCTTATTTATGATTACAACTTATTTAAGTATTCAATTAAAAAAACTCAATTTTGGAAAATGTACCCATTGTAGACAAATTCACTTTAAAATCTTGACTTTTAATTCAGGTTATTCTTTTATAATGTCACTTGAAATCACGTCTGGCTCGCTACTATTTCATTTAGTACCCTTCTCCACATTTCACAAACTGGTGTTTTAAAAAAATCCAAAAACAACAAATGCAAAGGCAACATGCAAATAGAATTTCTCTACACTGTGTCGATTGGTTCAAAGTACCTTTAAAAGGATATTCCCGACATGGAATACAATCCAAATAAAAACCAAAATGGAATCGTAAAAAAGTACATTTCTACCTTGACTATGAATAGACACTTAGATATTGTAGATTTGTTCTGTCATTTATTTTCAAGGTCATGTGATAATTTTATATATTGATATAACTTTTTTGTATATTCTAGGTATGTTTATTCACTGTACAGTCATACTCCCGGCCACTATGCCACAGGCGGTAATGCGGTAGTGTTAGAACTTGACGCTGGCGACGTTGTATACGTCAACGCCAATGGTGACGTGAACCTTTTCGGCGGTCATACCCAAATTTACTGCACATTCACCGGCTACTTGCTGTTTGCTACTTCTGGTCCGACAGAAATTATAGGATAAACAAAACATATAAATATCAAAGTTTTGAGTTAAATATGTTTGATTCTGTATGTAATATCAGTATCATTGGATTTAAACACGCGGAAATTGACTTAATAGATATATCTATTTATTTTATATTTTGTGCTTTAAGCTCACCTGGAGAGAAAAGAATATGTAGACGAGTTATTGCGGTCGGCCCTTGTCCGTCATGTCTGTTATCAACCTTTGCTTTAAACAACATGTCCTGTAACTAATTGGCTCATTGTGATGAAACTTTACAAGAATAATCCTTGAGTTGATTCCTTAATTGAAAATGTAGTTAAAATTGTTCCATTCTGCATTTTCTCATTAACCACCCGGTCTATTAAAGTTTGGTTGTTTGGGTTTAAAGGCACAATGACACATTACTGGTCCTACCGCACCGAACATTAAAAAAATATTATGTTATGGTTATTAATCCTAATGAGACTTAGTATAAGTTAATAGAAATAAAATTATGTTAATTTAAACTTAAAATATCTTATTAATATCTTAATTAAATTAAACAAATTTCTTTTAAGTAGTCGATCAGTGTTTTGAGTATCAAAAAGTTATGAAAGTTACTCCATCATATCAATCGTGAATTCATGCATTGCAATTAAAAATGTAGCACCATCCCCAATTTAAAGATGGAAATGTGTAACTTTAGTGTGTATGGAAAAAAACCAAAAAAAACACACACACAAAAACTACGGGATCATGACGGTTTACACACTGTTTTACCAGTGGGCAGAAATCTAAAATTTACTGATTACTACATGTAGGTTATAAATTTGGTCGGTATATACCTGCTCAAGATTCTTGTCTGAACAACCTTTCATTATCGGTCACCTGTGGAAATAAGTAATGACACAACACATGTTAACATTTTTGTTGTGTTTTTATTCTTCATATAAATTCTCCCTACCCTATAATTTCATTACCACTACCCACCGGGTGAAGTAAATATCCAGTGAACGTACAGTAAACCTCATTACTGGTGCCATACAGGTCCACGTCATTATGAGCTTTAACAAACACTACGTCACCAATGTCAAGGTCAAGGACGGCTGCATTTCCGGCAGTTGCATAGTGACCTGGAGTGTGACTATAGAGAGAGTCCACATACCTGTAAAATGCTTAAAATATTTAAAATACATCTCATTTCATAATAAATGTGGATTTTCTAAAAATCAATTGTGTCGCAGTATTTTCTTGTAAAAAAAGACTTGAGCTCTTGACTTCATTGCAAAAAAACGTATTTTTATTAGGATTTAATGACCAATCAAAAGACATCAAGTAGCTTTTACGTTTCTACAGAAGAAAGTAAAATATATCTCTATCAATTTCCTTTTTCTATGCACGTAAGAGCAATAATAAAATATACTAGTAGTAATAAATTTAAAGGTAGATCTAATAATACTAATTACCGAAGGCAAACCAAATCGAAATCATGCTTGACATCCTGGAAATTTGTTAACAACTTTCCTCATAAATGAAACTTTGACTGTCAGGCAATGAAAGTGGTTATATTTTTAGGAACAACATATTTTTCAGTTAATGTCTAAAGGTAATATATTTTTGACAAAACAACAACAACGACAACAACAACAGCAGCGAAACAATGCGTTTAAACACTTTAAATGAACACTTTTTTGAGTTTTTAGCATCATAGACAACATTCAATATAAATAAAGACAAAACTTACTTATAGTTGTGATAAAGCTCGAGCCACAGTTTACCATTTTGCTTGCCGAGAGCATGATAGTTGAATTCGTACAGACCGGAAACAGGTGCGACGAATTCTCCGGTTTGTGGATTATACACTCGTTGTAGGTCAAGAAACACACGATCAAACATGACCTTGTTGCTGTTTGTGACTGTTGCATGATGGGATAAACCAACAGAGAACGCAATGATTGCTTCTTCTACAACAAGAAAAAAGAAAAAAAAACAAGTTGTTGTATTTGTTCTCAGCTCAAAGGTTGGTGATATACAAAATATTAACAAATTCTGTGAAGTTATTTAGAAAAGAAGGTATTCAGTATTGAAATGAAATTGGTAGTAGTTAAACTAGTTTGTAACAACTAACCACACTTTTTCAACAGTATTTAATCAGAATCTGGCACGGTTTCCTATCTTTCACAGGGTTCAGCTGTTTAGATACCCGTAAACTTTAAGTTAGTATAAATCCCACAAGAGACATTTTAAAATAAGGAAACTATCTAGACTGTTCGTGATTCTATTCATGTGCTTTAACGGGCCTGAACTAATGCACGGAGAAGCTAGGTCTTCATACACGAGTAAACTTACAGACTAAATGTACAGACTCAATCAAACCGAGTCTGCAATACTCTTGTAATTTTGTTGTGATTAATGCTTCCGAGGAATCACGTTGTTTCCAGATTTTTAAACGATCGCCAAAGGTTATGAAATCATTATAATCTGTGTGATTTAAATTCCAATAGAAAATGAAATACATTCAGCTCGAAGCACTTTTATGCGTTCAATCTATAAGGGTATGTGAAAATTCAAATCTAATTTTTTTTATCATCACAATAAAGTATCACGCTCTTATGCTAGGGTGTATAGCACTGGCAATGAATTTCAATATATATGTACATTTGACCCCGTTATACTTCGTGACATTAGAAAACCCAGAGGCCAAAGTTACCAGTTTGTTGTTAGCTACAATACTTACGACCAGAATACATATCATTTTCTGTCACCAACTGAGCTCCCGAAAATGTGGAATAAATTTCGTCTGGGGTTCCGTAAATGCTGTTGTTTCCGTGGGCACGAATACTGATATGATCATTTTGTTTAAGGTGAAGGAGAACAGTATTTCCGGCATCTGCCCAGTCCTGGTCTGTTAGGCCGTAGATAGAGCAAACGTAGTGGTTGTTGTGGTACAATTCTTGATACAGCTCCATGTTCTGACGTGCTAAACTGTTATTTAAAATTACATTAATGGCATTTTAGAACCGCAAAACTAAAATGTTGAATTTGCTATAGGTTATGCTAACGGAACAGTCACTGGCGAAATATACACAAATAGGAGGACGAAGGATTAGATACCTGTGTGTTTAAACCATAATAAAAACTGAGAGAATAAAATTTGTTGATGAAAAATACCATAAAGATAAATTGCATCAGGAATTGATAAATATTGTGTTTTTTAGAAAGTAAGAAATGTCGGTGTTTGATATTTGTAAGGCATAGGACAGCGTCTTGATACTCGTATTTTAACACTAAATTAAATAAAGTTATGATGACAGACAATAAAAAAGTCCAGACTGTGTTGTTAGTAGCGTTGTAGGAAAAGAATTTACGATAATGCAAACGTTGCTTTTCCAATGCAATGCATGATAATCTACTATCTTAAATGACGTACATCGTTATATATTAACATGTATTTTTGTCTTAGTCTTTTTGATACCTAGTCCGCGCACCCTTTACACTGTTAACTTAGTATGTGGGGAGGGAGCCAATACTTCATGCTCAATGATTTCACTTGGTTGTTACATTGCACTGTCATGGCGACACTATAAACGTGCATTATTACTCAGTTAATGATATAAAATTATAAGAATTTACCCGAAGAAGTGGAATATGTAAAGTCCACTAGATGGCGCTGTGTATACACCGGTTGTGACGTCATAAGCTCCATTTACGTCAGTTACAATGTTATTGTACATTATGTTGTTTCCGCTTGCTACGTCTTGATGTTGGTTCAAGGTCACGGAGAAAGCTGACAATTTTGAGCCTTCTGCATCTAAAAATGCCTTACAATCTATCAAATATTCTATATTTTGAATTTATTAACATTTAATACCGATATATTTGTATAAAAACATTTATTTGATATGTCTGTAAATTCTAAAGCTATGGTGATTTCCCGGTGGAACCCGATCGTTCCCGGCAGAGCTAAGGATGAAGCCGGCAAAGCTTTACTTCCCGGATCATCCCGGACCACTCCGGTGATATTAAATATTTTATTCCATCCGGGGTCGAATGCCGGATGTTCCCGGATCAACCAGGACGTTGCCTGCAAAGTTACGGATGTACCCCGGTTGTTCCCGGATCATCCCGGACGTCTACCGGGGCTCTGCCAGGATGTAAGTGAGATTGTAGCTTAAAGGATAGTATTTGTCATTCTAAAATAATATTTTAGTGATAGTTCTATAATGAAAATGTAAAATGTACCCATCATTGAAACAGTTCATTTTATTTTCGGCAATATACTCAGAGTAACAGTTTTTAAATGTAATGACTTACTTAGCTCCAGAGAGCCGAGTTGGACACCAGTAAATGTGGTGTAAATCTCATCCGGTGTTCCGTACATATTGATACTATACTGGCTTCTCGTTATAACCTTAACAAAATCACCGTTCATCAGGGCGAGTATAACAGCGTTCCCAGCGGCCGCATAGTCCCCGGGGGTGTGAGCCCAGAGCGTGGCTACAAGTTTGTCATTGACGTACAGCTCCAGGAAAAGGTTGCTGTCTGTCTTGGTTAGTGAATACACTTGAAACTTGTACAATCCATCCTGCGAGCATGTGAATACCCCGTTGTTAAGTTGAGCTTGGGCGTGGTTCAAGATGACCTTAAAAATAAATTAAAGGACATTTGATAATACTGTTTGGTTAAGATAAGATTGGTTAAGGTAGAGATTTCCTGTGGAAAACCTTGTACTTAGTTCTAAAACGTTTGAAATTTTATTCTAAAAATACTCATATTAAGATAATAAATCATAAGGTCAATATTCCAAATCATAGACCCATAAGGTTTAGTTTTATACCTAAGACACGGTGATAGGGCGTTGAGCACAACTTTAGAACAACAACAACAGATGGTAATTTGCCCAAGACAAGGTAAAATCATTCCATTGAATGTGTCATATAATTTGAAGCTTATTACTCTTTACTACATGCAAAGATTTTCACTAAGTCGTGATAATGAAAACAGTTTTGGCATACTGTGAAAAATACAGCTTTGATTACAAAACATAACGACATTCTAGTCCGTTCAGTTCATATGACTGACCGAAATACAATATAGATATGTACATTATTTTCGTTTTGAACAAGTTAAACCACTTAAATAACCTATTTTGGTATATTTGATATGATTTTCATGTTCCATATGTGTGTACATTTAAGCGCCGTACAACTTTGTCAAGGTCACCGCATTATTCGTCCTTAAATCACCGCATTATTTTCAGTAAAGTCGGTCAAAGAAAGATCTTACCATGCCGGGTTAAAGCGTTTGAAGAAATTCGAAAACAATTAAAAATACAACAACTTAATAGTCTGCTGAGACTACTTACCTAACTGGTATTTTTGACATAGATTCGATCTTAAAAAACCTTCCATAAAATAACATATCATATAAAACGGCTAGAGAACGGTCTTCCATCAAATAAAATATTTGTAAGTAGATCTATAATTACTAGATTTAGTACTTATAAAGTATGTTGCAAAAGAAAACATGCCAATCAGTCTAGCGGAATAAAAATGCGGTGTTTTAATTCAGTGTTTTGCGGTGCTCCAATTTGAGCTGCTTTAAATTTAGGGTGATCCGTTGGTGAAGGTTTTTCAAAGTCATATTATTTCGAAGTGAATTGGTCTATAATGGAAGGTCTGTAATACAATGAATAATTTTGATAGTATTTAGTATTAGACATAACAACAAACCACGAAAGAATTATATATTATGAATGTTGTTGGCAAGTGTGAGGAACATGATCTGATATAAGAGTATAAGTCCTCGCATACGAACTCCAAATAGGGGTTTTATTCAGCAATAAATCATTGATAGGGATCTATATTATATCTTAATATAATATTTAAAACCTGTAAAACTTACCACTGGAAATGGTATTGTGGTTGAGTTGTCAACATTTAATGCATTTACATGAGAATCCTGTCCTAGAGTGAACGCGATAGGATCAAACTGAGCTGTCACTGAAATTGTTAAAACGTACAATGTAACCCGACTTCTTCAATGTTAAAACGAACAATGTAACCCGACTTATTCAATGTTAAAACGTACAATGTAAACCGACTACTTCAATGTTAAAACGTACAATGTAACCCGACTACTTCGATGTTAAAACGTACAATGTAAACCGACTACTTCAATGTTAAAACGTACAATGTAACCCGACTACTTCAATGTTAAAACATACAATGTAACCCGACTACTTCAATGTTAAAACGTACAATGTAACCCGACTACTTCAATGTTATAACGTACAATGTAACCCGACTACTTCAATGTTAAAACGTACAATGTAACCCGACTACTTCAATGTTAAAACGTACAATGTAAACCGACTACTTCAATGTTAAAACGTATAATGTAACCCGACTACTTCAATGTTAAAACGAACAATGTAACCCCGACTACTTCAATGTTAAAACGTACAATGTAAACCGACTACTTCAATGTTAAAACGTACAATGTAACCCGACTACTTCAATGTTAAAACGTACAATGTAAACCGACTACTTCAATGTTAAAACGTACAATGTAACCCGACTACTTCGATGTTAAAACGTACAATGTAACCCGACTACTTCAATGTTAAAACGTACAATGTAACCCGACTACTTCAATGTTATAAACGTACAATGTAACCCGACTATTTCAATGTTATAACGTACAATGTAACCCGACTACTTCAATGTTATAACGTACAATGTAACCCGACTACTCCAATGTTATAACGTACAATGTAACCCGACTACTTCAATGTTATAGCGTACAATGTAACCCGACTACTTCAATGTTATAACGTACAATGTAACCCAACTACTTCAATGTTCAAACGTACAATGTGACCCGAATACCTCAACGTTATAGCGTACAATGTATCCCGACTACTTCAATGTTATAACGTACAATGTAACCCGACTACTTCAATGTTCTAGCGTACAATGTAACCCGACTACTTCAATGTTATAACGTACAATGTAACCCGACTACTTCAATGTTATAGCGTATAATGTAACCAAACTAGTTCAATGTTAAAACGTACAATGTAACCCGAATACCTCAACGTTATAGCGTACAATGTATCCCGACTACTTCAATGTTATAACGTACAATGTAACCCGACTACTTCAATGTTCTAGCGTACAATGTAACCCGACTACTTCAATGTTATAACGTACAATGTAACCCGACTACTTCAATGTTATAGCGTATAATGTAACCAAACTAGTTCAATGTTAAAACGTACAATGTAACCCAACTACTTCAATGTTATAACGTACAATGTAACCCGACTGCTTCAATGTTATAGCGTCTACTTCAATGTTGTAACGTACAATGGTGACTTATGAATTTAAATGAAATTTTCCACAATAAATTTTTAGACTGCCCATAATCATTTTTAGGGATATATAAAATTTTGAAGTCAACAGTGTAGAGCCTGGTCATACTTCACTGTTACAGGTTGTAAAGGCCAATCATTTTCGGTTTCCGCAAGTAAAGGAATGGAGGTTTAATATTTGCACTCCTAACAGATAAAAGGTGTACTCTAGATATTCTATAAGGAGATGTCAGAGACGACTTAAGTGTAAAAAATCATATCAATAAAATTACAGAAAAACTTGAAACTAGTTTGTGAGGATTTTGATATCATATGTAAGAATTGTTTGAACAAACTAAAATTATAAATATACTAACCTTGGAAAATAAGGACTGCCTGCAAGATAAGAAGTTTCAAATCCATTGTCATTCAACTGCAATTAAATTATCTGTGCTAGAAACAAATGGACTTATAAAAAGCGATTCTGGTGCGTGAGAATTTGACACATTATAAGCAATTGTAGAAAATATATCATGTTACAATGGTAGTTACTGAGAAGATGTTCTGTAAACAAGATATAGTCCAAGAGCTGTCAATTAACAAATGTATTCCAAAAGCAGATGTCGCATAGCATAAATAATTCATGAGCCGCCAATTAAGTAATGTATTCCAAAAGCAGATGTCGCATAGCATAAATAATTCATGAGCCGCCAATTAAGTAATGTATTCCAAATTCAGATGTCGCATAGCATAAATAATTCATGAGCTGTCAATAAAGTAATGTATTTCAAGAGAAAATGTCACTTAACATATATCCTTTCCTTAGTGCAGTAACGGGTTAACTACTATTTAATTATATAAGAGTTAACCTGTTACTGCACTGAGGTGACAAGATGCTAGTAGTTCAGGAGATGTAATGTAATCAAATATAGTCCACAAAGCAGGGATAAGTTGTTGTAAGTTGTCATAAAAAACAGAGTCAAAGAGACGATGTTACAGTATATAAATGACGAAATACATCATTACATTTCATATAGAAACTCTTTAGTAAAAAACCAACACTTTATAATTTGTCCTTAACACTCGGTATTTTAGATGGAATGTAAAAACTTTTATTGTGTGTCGTTTTCTTATGGCAAGGTAAGATTCACAGACAAAATTTATCGTACTTACACGAAAATTGGCAGCTATATAAAGTCTTCTCGTTATCTCTACTGAAATCAAACTAAACTTAAAGATTTTATATATATATATGCATAACCTAAAACCGTCTTATCTATATTCTGTAAGTAGGTGTGTGTGCTAATATGTGACACAACATGACACAATTTCGTCACAAGATTATGTAATGCCATTTTATTTTATACTACTTATAATTATTTCATTCCAATAGGAGTATAGTGCCGTAGTTGCACACCATACCCTTCAAAACTGTCAACCTTTGGCACTCTTTCAATGTGCATATATGCAAAGTACGGTCCCCGATTCGGTCATCGATGATTTTAAATAGTATCAGCATTTACCACAAGTACGCTGATGTCGAAATAGCGAAATGAATATTAATAGTTACGATGAAAAGTTAAACAGAAGTTGCTATTTTTGTTTTCTGCCATCGAACTGTCTTGTTTTCAACATACAAAGTTGCAGTTTCGTATCATTAATATACATCTAAATACTTGAGCGCGAGATCATTGATCTCTTGTTACCACCACAATGTCTAACACTCAACAATTATGGCCTGGATGACAGTATAAAATTGATTAGTCAGAACTTATCAAATAGAGAGAAATAATAATCCTTAAAGAAAGTCCAACACGACAAAATTAAAAAAATGTTGCAGTTCAAGTCTATTTTTCAGCGAATTCTGCGTTGGTGAACTAACAGCAGTATGGTTATACAATTTGAATAAACGAAGACATTCTCCCAAAAATTACAAATATCTTTCAAATTGTATATAATCTATTGACTTTATCCAAGTCATTTACTGTATAGTACGATCATAAAGTTTCAAATGTGAAATATCAAGTTTTAATTTCTTTTTATAATTTGAAAATTTAAAAAAATAGCTTTCTGATTTCCTTCTTCATATACATGTATTTTCTTTTCAAAATCCGACCCAGCTTTTCTACATTCCATTGTTGCAGTTTTCTATCCGTACAATTGTTTTACAAGAAGGTCTTTTTGTTTGTTGATATTTGTTTCATGATTTACTGTTTCCTTTAACAGCTTTTAAGGCACATCTTATCATCCGTGAGGGAGGGCATCTGCTTATATAATAATGGTTTATAAGTTCTTTTAGGCACATGTTTATTGACACTTCCAAGAATCGTTTCAACCTTTATGTTCAAATTAAAAGTCAAGTTTATTTTACATAGTTCAGTGTTAATAATAATTAATATTAATCACTATCATACCTAAATTAAAGTTATTTGGCACACATATTTGTTTCTAAATTGCACAAAATATATATTCAAGGTTACTACTAAATGGCAACTTTACCAACTTGTGAGAAGTGTTTTAATTTTTCAATTAAAACCTCAGCATTTGCAAATAAAAGGGCAAAGGTGCTAGAGCGCTGACCATTTCGAACTCGAGCGTGAAGACTATTTAATGAAGGGGAGCGATGACCTAGTGGTAAGGTGTCTGCCTCTCAACCCAGAGATCATGAGTTCGAGCCCTATTCGGGCCACGACCATGTTTCTTCATATAACACCAGTACTGGTTGGTTCCAGGAAGCGGACTAGAAAGTGATTCATATGAGTTGCCAGAACTTGTTTCGCAATCGAGCCTAAATAAATATGTTTAAATCAATTTAATTGAGGAAACGTTCTTAATCAAACCGAGCCTGCAAATTTTTTAATTTTGCCCTTTTAGACTTTCTTTAGGGATTCTTATTTTCTCTATTTTCTCCAACTGCTAAGTAAATTCATGACTACTGTAACTTTGAGGTGAATTAAAAATCCATTTTTCCAATCAATCTTGGTGTAGTAATGTCTCCCATCAAAACTGTCCCTCTGTGAAGTTTCTTTAATAAATTGAATATACATGTAGTATTTAAAGCATTGCTTTTGTTCTCATAGAGATATATTTACACAATACATGTACCTACTAAATATTTTCATTTTTATATAAAAATCAAAGTTCCTCCATTGCCTGTATGTATGTATAATTTTCATAGAAAGAAAAGTAAGTATTTTAGAAAGAAAAGAAAGACCATTTAACTTAAGAGTCCACTTTGTTTAGACTTGTATAGTAAGTAGCCCGTCCAACCACAAAAATATTGTTTTTACTAATAATGAATTTGGTGGTTAACAGTGACTTTTTCAACTTACGTATTTGATTGACCATAACATAATGATAATAATTCCAATAGTTTTTATTTGTTTTGGTCGTCAGACCAATCAAATAATGGTAGCGAAATTTCAGACTCTAATGCTGTTAATTGCAAATGCCGAAAGTAGTCCGCTTTTTTGAAGCGGTTACTTCCCTTTATATGTAACACTAAGGCCGAAAAATTCAGGGGAGATCACTGCATAAATATGGTCACAAGACAGGCGCATAAATTTTCAAGCAAAATGATTCCCGAATGGTCGAAGATTTCTAATATTGTTTTATTCTTTATAGCTATTTTCTTCAGACCATTAACATATATATTCACCGTGGCCGAGGGGTTTGCGCCAGTCAAGGCAACTCAATTTTTTTTCAAATTGTTTAAATCAATAAACATTGGATTGAGTATCAGTGTTGCAATTAGTCTTATAGCAAATCTACTACAATTAAAACGCTGGAAAGCATTGGTGGCACTATACAAAAACAAATTGATTTATAGTCTCACAACTTTCACCTTTCTGACATTCTGAGACCCAAAACAAATTCAGCGCCTTCTGTGCTTTGATTATTCAAATTGCGTGCAAGGGGAAATAAATCAGGAGCGAACTTCGATAAGTAATCTATTGCATAATAATTCATTTAACGCCGCCTTTTCTTGTTGATCTTGTTTATCATATTAATTGCTCTCATCAATTCTGAAGGCTTCCTCAATGGCCTTTTCTTACATCGACACTTATTTAATTCTTCTTTGAGAGATTAAATCGGAATGTATTTCAAATCTATTTTTTCAAAGTAATAGGTGATGTTTTACTTAAAGTTGTTTCAGTAGTAAAATAATTAATCATTCCGGAGTTGGTAATGAATACAAAGGTACCTTATCGACATAATCTCGTTTTGAAAGAAAAAATGTGCATTCGCTTTAACATACTTGTTAATAGATTTGGTCGCTTGACAACTCAAATTTGCTTTCGAATGATTGTGTGCACAAGTTAAGATATTGATTAACACTTGCAAGGAAGAAAAGTACGAACCCTGGTATAAGACATTGAGGACTAAAAACATTTCCTAATAGCTTGCCCTTTCTAAGACCATATACGAAATGACTGTTTTGGTGATTTAAATCTTGAGTTTAATAATTGAATAACAAACGAAAATGAATTTATAAACTTAATGAGCAATTTTCCAAGAAAAAATAACGAAATACGTAGTAAAGTACAATAAAAGTCGAAACTCTATCTACAATTGTATGACATTGTATGACATCTTAGTTATAGAAATGTGTAATAAGCAAGGTTCCTTGTTTTTAAATGTGTTAAACGTACGGTAGACCTTTTGAGTTACATCACTTTTCCAGGTTAAATATTATATTACATGAATAATATCATAACCATTTTGCAATCATTTTATTTTTGTTGATCAACGTGAACTATTAAAACACTTCTAATTCAGAACATTGGGTCGGGTGTTTTTATTATTTCATTTTTATTACATGCACACATGTCATTACAATAAAAGAGTTACTTACTTAATTACTTACATACTATATATTGATTTCTCTATCTATATTTTAGAATCCCTCCAAAAAGGTAATTTAAGTCACAATAAATTAATTTCACTGCACATTCAACCGCTTTAAACTCGTCTGTAGTGTTATAGATGTTAACCATTACAAGGTGGCGCCCAACATGTCTCTTTTGCCATTTCTGGTATACACTTTTGTGATTTGCATTCGTTCACCTGCTCGGTAAGTTAATCAATATTACATTTTCTTGTTAACAATTGGTTCATTTATTTCCCCGATTGTGTACCCCTGCCCTTTGGTACCGCTGCCTTTATATACTGTCGGCTATCTTTCGTGAACTTTCCTCTCTTTATTCTTATATTTGCCGTTCAGATTTCAAATATATGAACATAAGTATAAATATAATCAAAGCACTAAAAGTACTGAAGTATACATTGCTTGATAATATAATCCATTTTTGTCATCAAGGCCATGTTGATTTTAACCTACTGACCTCGAAAACAATAGGGGTCATCTTCTGACCAAGGTCAATGTCCCTAACAAGTGACTCACATGCACCAAGGCTTTTTCTTCCAAAGTTTTTTATGAGACAAGGAAGATGTGATGTTCCATAGTGTATTGCTAGGCATGCTGATAGATGAGCAATAAAGAAATCATTTTTTGAAACACCTGTTAAATGGACTGCAGCATAGAATATTGAAACAGTAATTGAGTTTTCCAGTGATGCTATCTAATAAAATACATGATCTGGCTTGAACTCTGTACAAAGTTCAATTAATTGAATCATCCTACAAGACTTAATTACCAAATTATAGTACATCTATGTACTGTACTTTGATGCATTAATAAATATATTCTGGTGTGTTGTATTCATCTCTACACATTAATTTTCAAATGCATTACTTTAATATCGTTTATTAATAAAAATGAAATATATAATCAAAACAATACAAATTTACTGTAATATTTTCATTATTCAATAATTGTTACATATAGTCCCTTCATATACAACCTTTCCAAGAAATTCATTTTATATTGGACAGCAAGTTTTAAGAAGGTTTTTTTTCCATAATCAGGTTGTGTTTACCAACTTCTTAACTTAATGAACCATTTGAGCGAAACATTTTTTCTATTTTTTGGCTACTGTGACTTACTTCTGATTTTCAACCAAGGTGATCCATGTTCAAACTCGAGCAAAACCTGTCACACACATTCTTACGATGTTGTGTGACAATTGGGGCAAAAGTGTGACCAGTAGAGTGGTACATGACAAGCAGATTGTTAACAACTGTAATGTCATCGTCGGATACACATGGTTGTTTAACATTTAACATGACATAACTGATAAATGTAAATGGTTCGGCTGTGGGTATCCGACGATGCTAAATGTGGACAGACCACAGTTGACATAAGATGGATCTA